AAAAGGAATTTTAGTATTATTACAGTATAACGTCTTAGAGTGGGTACCAGAGAGACCTATAACCCCGAACTTCCGACAGACAAAGAAAAACAAACAAAAAACAAGTAAGAAAGGCCTTCCCATGGGCCAGCCGGGCAGCGTGGTGGTTAAGGCGACTGGATCCCACATGATCAATTGCACAGCTCAAGTCTCAGATCTGGCAACTTGAAAAAACATACCAGGCAAATGTGTGCGCATGCCCAAAACCCCAAGGGAGAATGAAGGAGAAGAGATTGTGGTGTGGTCATACCTGCTGGGGGGCTGCTTCCTCCCTCCCACTCTCTGTCTCTCTGTGGTGAGTACATGTGCTTCTGGCAGTTTAAAATAAACACATAAAAATTAAAAACAAATAAATATTTAAATAGCATCAAGAGATTCCTAACTCCAGTAATGCCCAGGAGACAATAGAAAATCACTCATACCAAGAACCAATAAAACTACAACTTGAATAAAAAAAGACAATCAACTGATATGGAAATGAACCAAATGTTCACTCCAAATGCAAAATCCTAACCTCAGTGTTCCCAGCTTTTCCTTTTTCCCTTCAGAGTGCATGTCCTTGGAGTGGTTTGTGATTCCGGTCAACACAGCATGCCAGAGGGGGCCCTACCTCCCTAAGGTTGGGTGACTGGCCAGCTCTGAAACCACCACCCTCCCATCTATACAGAACTTACTAACCAATCACCAACTGCTCATCCAAACCCGGGCTTTCCGAATCCTTCTCTCCATGGGACTCCGGACAACCTCTGCTGATTCCTCACAGCTGATTAGGGAGACGCCTGATATCTGCCACCATCAGGTCAAACCATGACCTCTTGGAAATATGTCTGATAAAAAGAGCCAGGACACAGATGTAGCAGACCTGGTTATTCTTTTACTGGAAGGGGTATGCATTGTTGCACCTTACAAGCCTGGGGGCCCAGAGAAATTTCAAGCTCAATGTTCAGCTGGTTTGCTTTGAGTTCGTAGTGGCCTTCAATATAGCCCCGGGTGTGGCAGTTATGCCAGCGCCAGTAGCCCTGGATGATGCGGGCGGCGTGGAGCAGACGGCAGTACCGCCGGCGGATGCGCCACATGCGGAACCAGGACTGCAGCCTGACCGCCGCCCATTCGTGCCGCGCGTACGCCTCCAGCGCTGCCCGCCGTCTCTTGGCCAGCACTTTCGCCATGATCTGCCTCCACCAGCACTGAATAATCCAAGCTTTGAGGGCCGCGTGCAGCAGCGTCCGGCGCACCAGTGTGCCCCGCCACCACGCCTGGATGGTCACGGCCGCAGACGCCTGCATCGTGTTCTCTTTTGAACCTGACCAAAAAAGACGGGAATTACCCAGGACATTCTGGAAGTTCTGGCTGTACCAGGAAAGGGGCCTGATTCTCCAGGAACATTCACTCCCTCCTGCACGTGGGCAGGGCAAAAACCAGAGCCAAGATCTGGTAGGTTTCTGCCTCCCCCGCTCCCTGGTTAATGAACAGGGACACATTCCCAGACCTCTGAGTCTCAATGTCTGCACCTGTAAAATCGGCTACCTCTCCCAGACTCCTGCAGACCTGGTAGGTCAGTCCAGAGCAGGAACACCGTGATTGACAGGTGACAGAGCTGCGACTGTCACCTGGGCCCAAATGCCTACCTTGGCGCCATACCTTGTCCCTGGAGACTCCTCCCACCTGCTCCCCCCGCCCCCCTCACCTCTGGCTTCAGGTTAAACTTGCATTTGCTGTGTCTGCTCTGCCTGGCCAAAGGAGAAAAGACTCTTCCACCTCCCACCTGTTATTTACAGCTTGGAGTTCAGTTAACAGGTACCTCAGTACACACACACACACACACACACACACACACTGTAGACAGTGGTTCCCTATGCCTCCCTACGCCTGGCCCTTGCATTCCCTAAACACAGTTCCGGCTTGCAGCTCCCAACCCTGCGTGGTCGGGGCTCGCGGGCCTCTGCCTCCCTCTTTGCCACGGTTGACAGTGCACATCCCGGCCAGACCTGCATCTTCCACCTCAGGAGGAAATGGGAAAAAGGACAGCCCAGGAAAGGTCAGTCCCTCATCCTTCCAGCTCTGTATACGACTACTGGTCCCAGCTGGCCTAGACAGCCAGAGTCTCTACCTGTCACCCCTTTTTGTCATCTCTCATGGCCAATAAATTACGTGGTCACAGACCTTTGAGTTACTCTGCTGGACCACTGGAGTAAAAAATGTGGCAGGACCCAGCAGGTGGCATGATGGTTGGGGTGCTGGACTCCCACATGGCTGATCATGATTTGAGTCCTGGACCTAGTAGCTTGGAAATCATGCCGGACGTGTGTGGCTATGTGGCCCAAATCCCAGGAGGAGAATAGCTGAGAAGGGATTGCGGTGTGGCTATCCCCTGAGGAGGTGATTTCTCACTTTTCCTCACTGTCTCTGTCTGTCTCCTTGAACTCATGCTCTCATACTCTCTATGGGAAAAAGAAAAAAATGTAGCTAGGGCCAGCAGGTAGCCTAGTGGTTAAGGCACTGGACTCCCACATGGCCAGTTGTGGTTTGAGTCCTGGACCTGGTGGTTTGCTTGCTCACTTTCCCTTTCTTTCTGTCTGGTCAAATTAAAAAATAATAATAGTAGTAAATAAACTAAAATAAATATATAATTTTCAATGTGGCAGATCAAGGCTTTCCTCAACATGGTACAGCCTGGACCCATCTACCTACGGGGTTGTGGAAAAGGCAGTGGCAGTTGGGGGGTTGGCGGTGTGGGGGGGTTGCCTCCCTCTCTCCTCTGTTCCTTTAAGCGCCATTCTATCGGTTTGATTTCATCACTGTCGTCAACAATAATTTTAAATGGTTCGCTGTCAGCCCCATAGCACAGTGGTTAAACGCTGCGTGTTGGGAGCCAGATCCCAAATGGCCAACTGTAGTTTGAATCCTGGCCCCCAAAGGTTTCAAACATGACAGCTCTGCAAGTGTGTGTGCCCGAAACCCTGACAGGAGGGAAAATGGAGGAAAAAGGATTATGACATGACCATGCTCATCAGAGGGTTCTCTCTCTCTCTGACAAATGCATGTGTCTTCTTGCAATTAGAAAAAAGAAAAGGAAAAGAATATGTCTTTAAAAATAAATAAAAGAATAGGGACCAGCAGTTAGCGTAATGTCTACATCGCTGGACTCCCACATAGTCAACCACAGTTTGAGTCCTGGACCCGGTGGCTTAAACTCGCCAGGCGCGTGTGCGTGCGTGCCCAAGATCCCGAGAGGAGAATGGAGGAGAAGGGATTGCAGCGTGACCATCCCCCCTGGGAGGTGCTTTCTCACTTTCTCTCTGTCTCTGTCTTTCTGGCAAGCGCATATGCCCTATAGCAAAAACCTCTCCATAAAAATAAATAAATAAAAAAAAAAATACTTAAATAGAATTGGCCCAGCCAGTGGCATGGTGGTTAAGGTGGCTGGATCTCACATGGACAAGTGTGTGGTTCCCGTCCTGGACCCCATAGTTTGAAAATCACACTATGTGTGTGTATCTGTGTGTACATACCTAAAATCCCTAGAGGAAAATAGAGGAGAAGGGGCTGTGGCATGGCCATCCCCTCTGGGGAGTGATTTCTCTCTATCCAGTGGTCCCACAGGCCAAATAACAAAAAGTAAATGAAAAACTAAAAGGGTTTGCTGTCTCTCTGTCATCATATCTTAGGGAGGAAAACGTGGGGCAGAGTGCTCTCCCGCCAGCAGGTGTCAAGTCAGCCGCAAATTCAACCCCTTGCCCTTTCCTGGAACTTCAGACATGATCGGGGAGCCTCTCCTGACATAACTGGGAGACTTACCCTCTCCCCTCAGAAAGCTTGAGTAGAGCTGCCTCTTTCAAAGGACTCAGTTCCCCTGACTTGAGGATGGATGGTCAGATCCACGCAGATCTGCACTGTGCTAAATTACCCATGGTTAGGGGTGAGATGGTCCCATCACCCTCAGGTCTGCACTCCTCCAGCCACGGCTCTCCCGGGAAGAGTGGAATAGGGAGAGAAGCGATGTCATAAGGGTGGCTGTGATGCGGCACCTGCATGGCTCCCAACTGCTGGGCCTTCTCTAAGAAAGATCTAGAACACTGTCCGTTCTTGCCTGCCAGAATGGCCAGACTTCGGTCTACAAAGAACACCCCAAACACTGACCTGTTGACACAAAGGTATATAGTGTATACCCAGCTGGTAGTTTTTTTTTTCTTTTTTTTGGAGAGGTTTTGCTATAGGGTGCATGCGCTCACCAGAAAGACACAGAGAGACAGAGAGACAGATTGCCACGCTGCAATCCCCTCTCCTCCAGTCTACTCTTGGGATCTTGGCAGGCACGCACGCGCGCCCGGCGTGAGCTTAAGCCGCCGGGTCCAGGACTCCAACCGCGGTCAACTACGTGGGAGTCCAGCGACATAGCCATTACGCTAACTGCTGGTCCCACCCTGGCATTTACGCAATGGCTTTCAGTTCATTTGAACAATGGTATACCAAATAATAATAAACTAGAATGACCTTGCTCTCTATGTACCAATATGGAACCGTGTGTAAGATTTAGTAAGTGAAACAAATCGCGATGAAGAACAAAGTTCTCTCCACAGAAGCATACTTTGATACTGATTTAGACGGGCCTGGAACTCACAACAGCCCGAGGCTAGCAATTGCCAACATTTCACGGGCCTCTGAGAATTCACGGCCTCTGTCCCCACTCCTCCGAAGTGATCAAAAGCAATCTGAGACCTTGAGAGGTTGGACACCCTGCTTATCTAACCCCTCCTCCTGAGAACAAGCTCTAGGCTACATCTTGATGGACTGCTTCTTCCCGATAGACTTCTCCCTGATAGGATACCCTAAGCCCTCCGAGAGCCGCCCTTCCCCAAACTTCCCACTAAGACTGTGCTGGACCCCCAAGCAGGCCCAAGCAGGCCGGAGAGTCTGAGTGTTAACTCCTCCCAGCTTGCCCCCATATTGAAGAGTTACTCCTATCTCTCCCTCCCCGGAGTGCTGCCTTTTTGTCCCACGTTGTCTGGTCTGCTTTTCCGCAACAATACAAACGTGTTGTAAAGCAACAATTCCCGACCTTTTGCCACCAGGGACCAGGTTCACAGAAGACAATTTTTCCACAGACTGAAAGGGTTGGGGTGGAGGATGGTTTAGGGGTCATTTAAGTGCATTACATTTACTGTGCACTTTATTTCTGTATTATTACATTGTATATAATGAAATAATTACACTCACCCTAACGCAATATTTGCAGCCACTCCCCAGCACGAGTATCACTGCCTCAGCTCCACCGCAGATCTCCAGGCATTGGATTCTTATAAAGAGTGCACAACCCAGATCGCGTGCATGCCCAGTTCACGATAGAGTCTGTGCTCCCTTGAGAATCAGATGCTGCTGCTGATCTAACCGGAAGTGGAGGTGGTAATGAGAGCGATGGGAGCAGCTGTAAATACAGGTGAAGCTTCGCTCGCTTCCGCTGCTCACCTCCTGCTGTGTGACCCAGTTCCTCACAGGCCATGCTGCAGCCCTGGGACTGGGGACCCTTGTTGTAATGGCACTATCTTAATAAGGGGCAGGGAGGGGCAGCAGGTGGCATAGTAGTTACGATGCTGGACTCCCACATGGCCGATCATGGTTCATAGACCCAGACCTGATGGCTTGCTTTCTCACTTTCTCTTTCTCTCTCTGTCTCTGGTCAAAATTTAAAAAATAAATCAATAAGTATTAATAACAAATATAAATAAATAAATCTTTAAAGTAAATCAATCAATAAGGGGCAGAGATGGGAAGATATCCAGCAAAAGTAACAATGATTACCTCTGAGGAAGACAGTGGGATAATTGGGGGAACAAGGTGAACTCCCTGTCTGGCTCACCACCCCCATGTCTAGCCTGTCTGCAAGTCAGCCGGTTATCAGACCCTGACAGAGAAAGACCCACTCAGGCAGGACAATCCCGTGAAGCCCCCAGGCCAGCTGAACCTCCATCTCGACTCAAATGGTTTCAGGTGAAATGCCCTCCTGTCTTCCTCTGCCCCCAAAGACCTCAAAACCAGAAGCACTTGGATGAGGGGTGACCACTGCATGGACAGGACCCCATTTCTGCCTATGTCCATTTCTGCCTCTGAAGACCCACCTGGGTAGTCTGAGCTCCTGTTTTTCTTCGGAGTTACCGAGGAATACGTTCGGAATATGAATGAGGAATTGGGGACAGGTCTGCAGGGAGGACGCAGGGCTGAGGGGAAGCCATTCAAGGCTGGGGTGTATGTCGGTGCAGTTAGTGGGAAGAGGGGAGGGGAAAGATGACAGTGAGTTAGAGGCTGGGAGAGACAGAGTACAATGCGTGGACAGGGACTGGTGGGAAGTATCCTGAGGAGATGATATGGATTAGACCTCCATTGTTCTAGCGCCACGGCCATACAGTTTTATAGCGACAGGGACCATATGGGCACGCTCATCCCCCTCCCACTGCTGCTCACACACAGAGACCAAAGTGGGGCAATTAAACCGAACGGTGTGGGAGTGCCGTGCACACTACTATACTGTGACTTGTTTTTATTACAAGTGTACACCCCAAACTTCCAAACAGAGAAGAGACTTCAGAGATAGCACTGCTTTTTTTTTTTTCTTTGAGATTTTTGCTATAGGGCATGTATGCTTGCTGGAGAGACAGAGAGAGACAGAGACAGAATGACACTGCAACCCCTTTTCTTCCATTCTCCTCTTGGGATCTTGGGCATGCACACAATTGTGCCTGGCATGTGTTTTTTTTTTTTTAAATAATTGTTTATTTAATTTTATTTATCCATTCATTTATTTTAATTTGATCAGAGAGAAACAGAGAGAGAGAAGGGGAAAAACCAAGCCACCAGGTCTGGGACTTGAACCATGGTCAGCCATATGGGAGTGTCCAGCACCTTAACCACCACGCCACCTGCTGGTCTCGGCATGAGTTTTTAAAGTCACAGGGTCTAGGCCTCAAAGCACGGTGGACCACGTGAGCATCCAGCGATATAACCACCATACCATCTGCTGGTCCCCATCCAGCATGAGTTTTAAGCTGCCAGGTCCAGGACTTGACCTATGGTCCACTATGTGGGAGTCCAGCGCCTTGACTACTATGCCACCTGCTAGTCCCAAATGTTGCACAAACAAAAAGCAACCAATGTCATGGGCCAACAGGTGGCATGGAGGCTAAGTGGCTGGATCCACAGGGCCGACTTTGTGGTTCAAGCCCTAGACCTGCCAACTTAAAAAAGGACACACTGAGCACACATGCGTGTGTGTGCCCAACATCCCACAAGAAGAATAGAGAAGGGATTGTGGCGTGGCTGTCCACCCTGGGACGTGGTTTCACACCTCTCTCTCTCTCATATGTGCCCTATAGCAAGCTAGAAAAAAAAATTAATTAAAAAGAAATTTTTAAGACATTTTTAAAAATTGAACTTTATTTATTTAAATTTGACCAGAGAGGAACAGAGAGAGAGAGAGCGAAAGTGAGAAAGCAAGCCGCCAGGTCCGGGATTCAGACCACGGTCGCCCATATGGGAATCCGGTGTCCTTAACCACCATGCCACCTGCAAGCCCCAATTTTTTAAAATTTAAAAGAACCTTTAAAAATAGTAAAAAGAAAGTGAGGATGCAAGCAAAATAAGTCTCTAAGTTGCTCATTTCCTAGCCAAGCAGGAAAAGCTGTTTGCCAGTAGAGTGAGTTAATTAAATTTGATTGCAGCAGCTGAAGAAATGTGTCCAGAGAAAATAAACTCGACCCTATTAACCTTTCAATGAGGATAGCTGTTCAAATAGTTGATGACTTGGGAAACAGCGTCAGTAGTCAATTTACAAACAAAGCCAATCTTTCCGAGCAGTTTTCCTTGGCTCCTAATGAGTCGACAGATGTACCGATAGAGCTCGGCTGCTATTTATTGAAGGGACGCGTGCTGAAGGGACTGAAGAATTAACCTATAGGAGTGTGTGTGTGGAAAAAATAGAGGGAAGACGGTATTGAAGAAGTTGCGAAAAAGTTACTTCAAGCAACCTGAAATGGAATCTGCCAAGATAAAACTAGGGGCCAGCAGGTGGCATAGTGGGTAAGGTGCTGGACTCCCACATGGTCAACCGTGGTTTGAGTCCCAGACCCAGTGGCTGAAACTCACACTGGGTGTGCCCAAAATCTTGAGAGGAGAATGGAAGAGAAGGGATTGTGGCGTGACTATCCCCCCTAGGGGGGTCACTTCTCACTTTCTGTCTTTTTGTCTCTGTCTCTCCAGTGAGCACAGGTGCCTTCTAGCAAAATCTCTCAAGAAAAAAAAAAGGAAAAGAAAATGACAGTAGTGCCTTTCTGGTGGTGATGACCTCCCTACAAGAACACGGCTCTCACAGAGGACACATCTCATTCCTGTCTAGAAGAGAGAAGGAAACACAAGAAGCAGCTGGTGGGGCCAGCAGGTGGTCTGATGGTTAAGGCATGGGACTACCACACGGCCAACCCCAGTTTGAGTCCCAGACCTGGCAGCTTGCTTCCTCACTTTCTCTCTCTTTCTCTCTCTCTGGTGAGCACACATGACCTATAGCAAATGTAAAAACTTATAATAATATAACAAATTAAACAAATAAATAATCCTTTAAAGAAAAGGAGGAAAAAGGAAGTTAACAACAACGGGAAAAAAAGTGCCTGGTGCAGAGCCCAAATTCCTACTTCATGGATGTTCAATTCCCCAGGATTCTATAAAACTGTCAGTCTTCAGCCATTCACAAATGATAGTTTTGTGCATTGGCTGCTCCACTGTCCTCTGCCAGCCTCCGGGAGGAAACGTGAGGCTTACAGGAAGACATTCCTTCAGCGGGAAAACAGCACTCAAAGCACCCTGACTCAGGAGGAGTGGGGAAACCATCCCAATAAACACATTTTGGATTAAAAAAATTAAATGATGGAAGTGAAGGTTTGTGTGGAGCAGGGGAAAAGGGCTTAGTGGTACAAACTTAGAAAGCTATTGAGGGACCAGCAGATGGCGTAATGGTTACGTCACCGGACTCCCACGTAGTTGACTGCGGTTTGAATCCCAGACCCAGTGGCTTAAAACTCACTCCGGGTGCATGTGTGTGCGTGTCCAAGATCCCAAGAGGAGAATGGAGGAGAAGGGATTGTGGGGTGGCCATCGCCCCAGGAGGTGACCTTGCTTTCTGTCTCTCTGTCTCTCCAGTGAGTGCATGCACCCTATAACAAAAATCTCTCTTGAAAGAAAGAAAGAAAGAAAGAAAGAAAGAAAGAAAGAAAGAAAGAAAGAAAGAAAGAAAGAAAGCAAGCTTAGGAAATTATGAGGTTAGAGCTTATGGTTATTCATTGCATTATCTGTTGGGAGGTGATTTGTGGAAAATACTGGAATCTACTTATTACTGAGCTGGTAGTGTCGATGTTAAACTTTGAGTGGTGTTATTGACTTGACCATCATTCGTTCCAAGAACTTTTGTCAGAAATAAAAGCTGCATACGCCGACTTGCCCAACCACACGACAGTTCCATAGCTTAGCAATGTTAAGGTTTTACCGTGAACTCTTCTTCTTTTTTCTTAGGTTTTTACCACAGGACACCCATGGTTTTTGCCATAGGGCTCGCCAGAGAGAGATGGAAAGAGAGAAAACGAGACGTTTTCCCTGGGAGGGTGGCCACACCACGATCCCTTCTCTAATCTCCTCCTGGGATCTTGGGCATGCACACACACACTCCTGGTGTGATTTTCAAGTTGCCAAATCCAGGACTCTAATTGCAGTTGACTATGTTGGCCCAGCACCGTAACCACTTAGGCCACCTGCTAACTCCTTTACTGGGAATTTTTTAAAGTTTCTTTTAAGATTTATTTGTCTACTTAGTTTTATTTGTTGTTATTATTAGCATTATTTAACTTGACCAGAGAGAGAGATCAGGAAAGCAAGAAGGCAAGCAAGCTGCCAGGTCTGGGACTTGAACCATGGTCCAGCGCCCTAACTACCATACTATGTGCCAGCCCCTTATTAGGAATTTTTAAGCTCAGGTTGAAGATTGAAATTTTTCTGAAGGAGAAAATCTACCTTCAGCTACTCTCCTCTACCATTGAATGACACTAGAAAGAGGCTTTTTCTGTAGTCTGCATGTTTCTTAATGAATTACACCCGAAATTAAAGGGCGACACAAATGCTTCGTGTGAAACTTGTTCCATCGTAAAGTCATCCTGACAGCAAGTAATCTGGAATCACAGCAATATCAGGCTGCTCTGTGTTTTCCTGAGCTGTCAAAAGTTCAAACAAGTGCGAGACCCATTCCCACACAAGTTTGCGGTGATGTTTACTCTGATCTCAAACTACAGTTCTAGCAGCAAGCGCTTATCAGACTTCTGTGAAGGTATGCTGGGCATTTCTGTATTTCTAAATATATTTTAGCAACTGAGGAGCAGTTACCTACTTTCCAATGGGAAGTAATGAACCTACGGTGCAGTGACGTGCTTAGGAGTAAATATCAATAGAATTGAATAGAACTCTGCAAATCACTCCCAAGTGATGAAAATTCCCGGCCAAAATTGTATGCTTCTGGATTTATATGAGTATTTAGCAGTACCAAAACATTTTCCACATGTGTGAAAAGATGAAATATATAAAATTTCATTTTAGGGCCAGCAGAGTGATGTGGAGGCTTAATTCATTAAGAAACATGAAGACTACAGATAAAGCCTTTTTTTAAAAAATGAGAATTATTTATCTTTATTTTTATTTTTTATTTTAAAAATTGACCAGAGAGGGACAGAGTGGTGCCTGGGTCATAGCTGCCCTTATGACATCACAGGCCTCCCCTCCTTTTTCTGCCTGCACCATGGCTGGGAGAACAGCGACCTGAGGGGATTTGAACCATCTGCACCCAACCCATGTATGACCAATTGTGAGTAAGACAGATCCAGACACATCAGGCTTGTTAGGGGTGTCCCCAAGATCTCTCAGGATGGGGGGATCCCTGCCTTCTGAAGACTCTGGGAAGCCCTGGAAGCTGAGGTGTGCTGGTGAGGGAGGGACAGAAGTATTATTCTGTGTCACCTCTACCTGCTGGTTCAGGAGGAAGAAAAATCTAAAGAAATGAGTAATCCCACTGAATACGACAACCCTCAGAAGGGGGAGCCGACCAGTTTACCAGCAGCACCACCCACCGCACCACCAGCAGCACCGCCGGCAGCACCCGCAGCCCCACAGACCGAGATAAAGGTAGGAGGGGCCCTGCCTGCATGTCGGGGCCCTGGCATCCCGGGTGTGGCTCATGTATTTGCACGGCCCTGAGCTATGTGGCCTCTCTCCCTATCTTTTTGGCTGACACTCCGGCTCTAGTCGGGACACAGTGGATAATGCTGATGTGAACGTCGCGAAGTATGCCACTGCAGGCCACGTGGGGCTGGGGCTGACGGGCTGTGGTCGGGGGAGGAAATGGCCAAGATCCGGGAAGTCAGGCTGAGTTAGAATCATGTGAGACTGTGTTTGCCAAAATGTGAAAGTTCAGAGAAACGGCAGTGGGGACGAGACGAGAGGCCAGCTGTGTGGGTGGGCAGCGATGCCATGATGTGACGGAGGGAGGGAACAGCTATGGATTCGCAGTGGAGTCAGGGAGGGAGGGGCGGGCAGAGAATAGGTGCGGGAGGAGTCTGGAGGGACGTGCCATGGACCATGGTAGCTTCTCCCTCTATGCTGGCTAACCCGATCCATGGGGAAAGTGGGTAGACAGGACAGGTGCACCTGTTTCACAGACGCGGACCCTGAGACAAGGGGCAAGGTGACGTGCTTGCAGCCCTTAGCCAGCGGAGGCAGAGGCAGGCACTTCCCTGATTTCTGGTTCCAGCCAGGCCCTTGCCCAGCGCTGCTGAATTTCAGAAGGGGCGACTGTTAATAGGGAGTCAGGGCCTTTCCTGGCACCCCACAGGGCTGAGGTGGGTGGGGAGCACTGCCTGAATGCCCCCTCTTTTTTCTTGCAAGTTCCCAGGCAACCAAAAGGCGCTCTCTGAAAAAGACAAGACAGCCATAAAGATCCAGGCCTGGTGGCGGGGCACGCTGGTCCGCCGGGTGCTGCTGCACGCCGCCCTCAGAGCCTGGATCATCCAGTGCTGGTGGCGGAAGACGCTATCCAGGGTCCTGGAGAAGAGGCGGCGGGCCGATCGGGAGAGCTACTTGCGGAAGGAGTGGGCGGTGGTCAGGCTGCAGTCCTGGGCTCGCATGTGGCAGGTGCGCCGGCGCTACTGCCGCGTGCTGGACGCCGCGCGCATCATCCAGGCCTACTGGAGGTGCCACTCCTGCACCTCCCGGGGCTTGATCAAGGGCCACTACAGAGTCACAGCCAACCAGCTGCACCTGGAGCTGGAGATTTTGCTGGGCTCAGGACCTTGCATTGTGACCGAGTGTATTCCCCTCCCAATAAAGCAGTAACGTGGTCTTCCCTGCAGTCTCTCCGACAAGCTCCAGGTCAGGGGGAAGGGCGACAACTACGTGGCATCTCATATGTCTGCTCTGATGGCTGGCAGGGGTTGTCTGAGGCCCTGGGTGGAGAGACTCTGAGCTCTTTGTCCAGACAAAGAAGATTGTGATTGATTAGTGATGTCTGCATAGGTAGAAAAGTTGGGGAAAAGATCTCTGCGAATTCACCCATGTGGGTCTAGTTGCTCAGGGTTTGTTCCCCTACTTCCAAGACTGAGAGGAGCTCCCCTAGCCCAAACCTTGTCATCCTGCCTCCCTGGGGGCCATATCCTCATCCTCAGCTTTGAAGCCAGGATCTGAACCCCAACCTGGAGGCTGTTAGAACACCCAGTCCTCATCCCCACCTCCAACCTCACCAGCCATCGCCCTCTGGCCTGCATAGAGGCTGGGACCTGGCTGGTGCATGGGCCCCATAGGCATGAGAGTGGGAGAGAGGGCACCTGGCTGCCCACCCCTCCCAAGGAGAGCCACACCCCAGACTATCATGTGCCCAGGGCGGAGGCACCTTAGCCTGTCCCTTCCCCCTCGCCCCAGGCCCAACCTCTTCGAGGACTGGTCCAGCAGAGCTGGCTCCTCTGAAAGCCCTTTCCTTTTGGGAACCAGCAGTTGGCATAATGGCTATGTCGCTGGACTCCCAAGTAGTCGACCGTGGTTTACGTCCCGGACCTGGTGGCTTAAAACTCATGCCAGGTGCGTGTGCGTGCGTGCCCAAGATCCCGAGAGGAGAATGGAGAAGGGATTGCAGTGTGACCATCCCCCTGGGGGGTGATTTCTCGCTTTCTGTCTCTCTGTCTCTCTGTCTGGCGAGCACACGCGCCCTATAGTGAAAATCTCTCCAAAAAAAAAAAAGCCCTTTCCTTTTGAAAATTATTTTATCTTTTTCTTAATGAGAGATTTTTGCTATAGGGTATGTGCACTTGCTGGATAGAAAGAGAGAAGGAAAGCAAGAAATTCCCCTCCCAGGAGATGGCCCCACATTCCCTTCTCCTCCATTATCCTCTCAGGATCTTGGCCACGCATGCACATGTGTTCAACATGAGGTTTTTAAGCCCCGGGTCCAGGACTTGAACTACAGTTGACTATGTGGGAGTCCAGCAATGTAACTATTACATCATCTGCTGGTCCTAGGACCAGCTGATGATATATATATATATATATTTATATTTAAGTTTGCTATAAGGCTCACCAAGAGAGATAGAGAGGGAGGGACAAGGAGAGGAAGGGAAAGCGAGAAAGCAAGCCACCAGGTTCAGGACTCGAACTGCGGTCCACTATGTGGGAGTTTAGTGCCCTAACCACCACGCTACCTGCTGGCCCCCTCTAAGTCCTTTCTGTGAAATCTGCCTCCTAGGGTGGAATGGGGGCCCCAGTGATGATCAACCAGTTGAGAGGTCAAGGTTAGGCTGTCCGTCTGTCTGTCTGAACACAGCTATTCTATGCATCGGTGCAGAGAAGGAGGGGCCAGGAAGGGGTCATCCCAGCCAAGGCCACAAGCTCAGAGCCCTTTGTCCGGCCCTTTTCCATTGACTGCCCTGGCAAGCTGCTCCCTGGGCTTACAGAGGCCACAGCATGGCTCAGACATCTCGGGCTGGGGCTCTGCCATGCACGTGGGCACAAGCTCTGCACCCCCAGCTCTGTCTGTCCATGTCCTGCCATCTGTATCTCACGGCAGGTGCTCTCACTCCCACGCCGAAGAATCTGTCCTTCTTCACATCCTCTGGTCTTGTATTCAGTGTCTGAGGGCAAAGTGTGAGGCCCTCGGTCAGACCCCTAGCCCCACCTCTCACAGCGGCATGGCTGTGAACTCATGTGCCTTTCTGACCCGTTTCCTGAGCTGTGATGGACTGAGGACCCCTACCTTTCAGAATCAAAACATTCAGCATCTTCCAAACATCAAGGACATGTTAAATATACATGACTTTCAGGGCCAGTGGGAGGTGTAGCAGTTAAGTCATGGGATTCCACATGGCTGACCTCGCTGTTGGAGTCCTAGACCCGGCCACTTGAAAAACACCGGGTGCATGTGCCTTAAATTCTGAGGGGGAAATGAAGAAGGGATTGTGGTGTGGCCATTCCCCTGGGGGATGCTTTCTCACTTCTCCCCTGTCTCTTTCCTACAAGCACACATACCCTAATAGCAAATTAAAAAGTAAAAAATTTCAGGGGTCAGCAAGTGGTGTGGTGGTTAGGGGTACTGGATTTCCACATGGCTGACCACGGTTCGAGTCCCAGACCTGGTGGAACATCCCCATGTACTTCCCAGGGCTGAAATACTCAGCTTCCCATCACAGGGGAAAACAGATGGAGCTCCAGACTGCAGCACGATCTCCTAACTGCTGAGGGTGATATATCCAAATACTGAAAGGAGAAACCAACAAACCCCAATTCATGGGTTATTCATGGTGATGGGATTAAGAGGGCAAAGACTTAATTCCACTATGGTGTTGAAAGCCAAAGTCTTTAGGGCTAGCAGGTGGCGTGGTGGTTATGGGCGCTGGATTCCCACATGGGCAACTGCGGTTTGAGTCCCAGTCCTGGCAGCTTGTTTTCTCACTTTTTCTCTCCTCTCTCACACTCTGTCCATCTCTAGTCAAATTAAAAAATAAAGTTAAATAAAATAATTCTTAAAAAAATAAATAAGGGAACCAGCAGTTAGTGTAATGGCTATGTCGCTGGACTCCCACGTAGTCAACCGCGGTTCGTGTCCTGGACCCGGTGGCTTAAAACTCACACCAGCCGCGTGTGCGTGCGTGCCCAAGATCCCGAGAGGAGAATGGAGGAGAAGCGATTGCGGCGTGACCATCCCCCCTGGGGGGTGATTTCTCGCTTCTGTCTCTCTGTCTCTCTCTGTCTCTCTCTGTCTGTCTGGCGAGCGCACGCACCCTACAGTGAAAATCTCTCCAAAAAAAAAATAAAATAAAAAATAAATAAATAAATAAATAAAGTGAAGTCTTTAAGGAGACAAACCAAAGCAGAGATACAAAGACTCCCAGAATCCCAGACAGATGCATGCCCTGACCCTGAACTGCCCGGTGACGCCCTTCCTCACGTCATCCACAAGAAGACCCTCACCAGAGGGGCCTCTTTTTTTTTTTTTTTTTGGAGAGATTTTTGCTATAGGGCGCGTGCGCTCGCCAGACAGACAGAGAGAGACATTGAGACAGAAAGCGAGAAATCACCCCGCAGGGGGGATGGTCACGCTGCAATCCCTTCTCCTCCATTCTCCTCTCGGGATCTTGGGCACGCATGCACACGCGCCCGGCGTGAGTTTTAAGCCACCGGGTCCAGGACACGAACCACGATCGACTACGTGGGAGTCCAGCAACATAGCCATTACGCTAACTGCTGGTTCCCTCTTTTTTTTTTTTTTTAAGAGAGACTTTTGCTATAAGGCATGTGTGCTCACCAGAGACAGAGGAAATGAGAAATCACCCCCCATGGTTATGTGTGGCGGGGAGATGGCCATGCCACAGTACCTTCTCCACTCTCTTGAGATTTGGGGACCATATGCACATGCGCTCAGCATGAGTTTCAAGCCTTGAGGGACTCAAAACTGTGGCTGACTGTTCGGGAATCCAGAGCCTTAACCACTGCACCACCTGCCGGCCCCCAGACGTGGTCTCTTGACCTTCAACTTCCAAAACCATGAGCTAAATAAACCTCTATTTTTATGAATCAACCAGCTCTGGGTATTTTGTTTTTAAGCAACAGAAACAACTAAGATATATGAAGGGACTTCACAAAGTACACAGAAAAATGGAATTTATGAGTTAATTTGGTGTGAAAAATACTTGAAATCCAAGCATAGTTTTTTCAAAACATGCATTTTTTTTTTTAGAGGTTTTTGCTATAGGGCACATGGGCTCGCTAGACAGAGACAGAGAGGCAGAAAGTGAGAAATCACCCTCCAGGGGGGATGGCCACACTGCAATCCCTTCTCCTCCATTCTCCTCTCGGAATCTTGGGCACGCACACACATGCGCCCGGCGTGAGTTTTAAGCCACCGGGTCCGGGACACGAACCGCGGTCGACTACGTGGGAGTCCAGCGACATAGCCATTACACTAACTGCTGATCCCAAAACCTGCATTTTCATAAACTTTTTGAAGTCCCCTCGCACTGATGGCAGGACGGCAGCCATTTTGAAATTGAGAAAGGCCTCTGACCAGGACAATCTGATCAAGTGTGAGTCACAGGGAGATCTGTATGAGGAATGGTCAGGTGAGAAACCAGGAATGGGTACTGGAACGCATCAAGATGACTCAGGGGCAAGCGAATGACTGATTGATCGTAGTCAGGGATGATTTACAGGATCAGGATAATGACTCAGGGGCAAGTGACAGACTGATCACAGTGAGGAATGATCTGCACATGCTTATCGCTTGTCCCTATAAATACCGAGAACACGTTGAGCTTTTCAAGGCAGTGTCATGGTCCTTGCTGATGGCCTCCCTATAACTGATTACAGAAATAAACTCCCGTCTTCTCCAGACTCTGCTTCCCATTTCACTGACCTCGAGAAGCAGCAGCCAGACCTATTAATAGCCGACTGGTAACAGCACTTCCCGAGGAACGAGCTTCAGCTTGCTATTGGCTTCCTCAGCGGCACCCTGGGTACACAGAAAGTGGAATAATACCCCCATGCTCTGAAAGAAAATAACATTGAGGACTGAACGATGGACTGCCCAAAGTGTCATTCAAGAGTAGAGGAAAAGTGAAAGGGCTTTTGTTTTTAACTTCCCAGAGGGCACGTGTGCTCCCAGAAAAGACAGCAAGGGGGGGGGGAAGCACCCCCCCATGGGGCGTGGTCATGCAGCAACCCCTTCTCCATTTCTCCATCCTGTTGGGATTTGGGGCACGCATGCACATACACACCACCATATTTTCCAAGACTTCTGTCTCTGCAGAAAGCAAGAAATCGCCCCCCAGGGGGGATGGCCATGCCACAATCCCTTCTCCTCCATTCTCCTCTTGGGATGTTGAGCATGCACATATGCACCTGATATGTTTCAAGCCTCCAGGTTCGGGACTCAAACCGTGGTTGGCCATGTGGGAGTCCAGTGACTTAACCATTATGCCATCTGCTGGTCCCAATAAATAATTCTTTTTCTTGGAAAGTTTTTTTTGCTACAGGGCTCATGCACTCTCCAGAGAGAGACAGAGAGACAGAAAGTGAGAAATCACCCCCTGGGGGGATGGCCACACTGCAATCCCTTCTCCTCCATTCTCCTCTCGGGATCTTGGGCACGCACACACACGTGCCCGGCGTGAGTGTAAACCACCGGGTCTGGGACTCGAACCATGGTCGACTACGTGGGAGTCCAGCGATATGGCCATTACGCTAACTGCTGGTGCCAATAAGTAATTCTTTAAAAATAAAAAAGGGTAGACTATGGACTTTCAGCCTCCATTATCCCTGGGAGCCGTTCCCATGATAAATCTGTATCTACATCTATGTTTCTCTCTATATTTATGTCTACTTCATCTTGGTTCTGTTTCTCCAGAGAACCCTAAAACAGTAATAAAATAAAAAGTCCCCTTAAAAGACGGCCAACAACTTGAACAGACACCACAGTAAAGAAGATGCATGATGGTATAGAGACGCTTGAGGAGGTGATTAGCACATCAGCCATTAGGGAGATGGGTGGGCAATTTCCTCCAGTAACGGGCCAGATAGCAAACGTTTTAGGCTTTCCGGGCTAAGATGCAAAATGGATGATACATTGTATAGGTAGTTATATAATGAGAGAAAATAAATGTCCACAAAATTGTTTTGACACAAAAAATATAAAGTATTACATAAATATATAATAAAAATGGAGGGGTCTGCCAGTGGTGTGCTGGTGAAGGCAGCTGGACCCCACATGGCCAACTGTGCTGTTTGAGTAATGGACTCCGCAGACTGAAAAACATGCTGGGTACCTTCAGGGTTAGGGTTAGGGGAGTGGAGTCTCAATTTCTCTCTCTCTTCCTCTGGGTATGAACACGCCCTGCAGCAAAAAACTTAAGAAAGAAAAATAAATAAATAAATGAAATTGGGGCCAGCAGGTGGCATGGTGGTTAAGGGCACTGGATTCACACAGGGTGACTGTGGTTTGAGTCCCAGACCTGGCAGCTTGCTTTCTCATTCCCCTCCCCACACACACTGCCCCTCTCTAGTAAAATTAATTAATTAAATATGATAAGTTAAATACAATAATTCTTTAAAATAGAAAAGGAAATTAATTTGGCTATTTTGTTTAAAATATATGCATCCACACCTACCCTATAACTCGCCAATTCCATTCCTACATATTTACTCAAGATGAATGAAAACATATGTTCATAAAAAGACATTTTTCTTTTTAAGAGGTTTTTGCTACAGGATGCATGTACTCACCAAAGAGAGACAGACAGTGAGAGGGAAAGTGAGAAATCACGCCCCAGGGGGGATGGTCACACCGCAATCCCTTCTCCTCCATTCTCCTCTCGGGATTTTGGGCACACATGCACATGTGCCTGGCATGATTGTCAAGCCCCTGGGTTTGGGACTCAAACCGCGGTTGGCCTCGTGGGAGTCCACTGACATAAGCTCCGCACCAGCTCTATTTCTAAGCCCAAATGTCCACCACAATATGAATGGTAACCAAACTGGGGTTCATCTAGATGGTAAAATACTCCCCATTAATAACATAAATGCAATGATGTGAGTGAAAAGTGAAAACGCTACACTGAGCCAAAGCCAGTCTCAAAATACAATGCAGGTCCGATCATGTGACCTCAGAAAGAAAGAGCAACGGCTGCGGGTGAGCACGGGGGCAAGTCTGGCCACAAAGGGGCAATACGGAGTTCTCTAGGGCTAAGACAGACCTGTTCCGTATCTTGGTTGTGCTGATGGTTACCTGAACATACTCGTGTGCTATCATTTACAGACCTGCAAACTAAAAATGTCAGTTTTACCATACTGCAATCTTTTTTTAGGTTATAAGACATGTGTGCTTCCCAGAGAGAGAGAGAGAGACAGAGAGAGAGAGAGAAAGTGAGAAATCTGCCCCCAGGGGGGATGACCACACTGCAATCCCTTCTCCTCCACTCTCTTCTTGGGATTTGGGTACACACACAGGCAAGATTTTTAAGCCACTGAGTCCAGGACTTGAGCTGCATAGTTGGTTATGTGGGATCCAGCTGCCTTCACATCCACGCCTCCTGCTGCCCCCCCATAACACTTTTAAGTTTAAAAAGCCTCCTGTGTCAGAGCCAGCAGGTGGCCACTCTCAGCCCTTGTCCTCAGGGCAGGGTCTCACCTTCATTTCAAAACTGCACCCCTGGGCAGTCTGCACTCCCCCCCCCCAGCTTTCTGGGGGGACTCACAGGGCTGGCTGCCTTCTGTTTGGGTCTCAGACCCCAGCAACTACCCTGACACACAACTGCATGGCCGTCACCGTTGACACACAACGGCAGCCAGCAGTTGGACCCTCAGAGCCCAGAGCCCGGCCAGAGTGCTGGGTGGGACTGGCCTAAGGGGCCGAAGCCAGGAGCCAGCAGAGGTCTCCACCCCAGTCCTACAGAAAAAGGTAAAAGTCCTCAGGCCAGCAGAGGGCAGCACCGAGACCGCCGGGGTCTTGCCTGACCCTGGGCCTTTCCAACTCCCATTGGGCACATCCCTGACCCCACTCCCCAAGAAGTTCCAAGAGACAAGGCCCAAAGGGAGACTTTTAATACAAAGAGGGTGGAGCATGGCCTGGGAAGGACTTAAATAAGGGGAAGAGAGAGTCAGGAGCCGGCTGCTGCGGGCTCGGGGGCCCTGGGGAGTGGGATGATGCAGACAGAGTTCCGAGCCTCTTTGATCCGCCACCATCGGCCAAGTCTGAAGGGGACAAGAGAAGGGGATGAGACATGGCCCAGAGCCCACCCCAATCCCACCCAGCTGCCAGCCAGTGCCAGCTTGCCTCTCACCCTCTCCAGCTGACAAACACTTCGTACCTGTGTTCCTGTCCCACCCCAGCCACCAGGAAGTCCCCAGCACTGGAGAACTTGAGGCTGTTGATAAAACCCACCTGAGGAGAGAGGGACACACGGTGAGACCTTAGACCAGCCCTTGGCCAGCCCCAGCATCTGCCGCCAGGCGTTGGCCCTACCAGGCCTGGGCTAAACCTCTGCTCCACTTCTGAGAGGTGGTGGGTGGAGCGCCAGCCTGGTGGTGAGGTCAGTGGTGAGCTTGTGAGGATTAAGGAGATCGTGTATGTCAAGTATGTGGAAGGTGTGGCCTGAGGTCTGGCCCCAGGTTACGGGGCCGTGGAGGCCAATGACCATCAGCACCAACCCAGGCCCTCGCCCTCAGCATACACAGATACCTCCTGCCACTGTCTCCCCGTTCCCCAGTGTGGACGGTCAATCCACATGGCCCTCCATCCAGCGGCGGCCATGCAGATCTGTCACTGGGCCAGGCCTCCATCCCATGCTATTCCCTGGCTTGCACCCCAGCACCTTGGACAGGGCCTTAGACAAAGGGAGAAGATGGAGAGAGGGTTCCTGCCAGGCCCTGTGCTAGGAGCTGGCTCTGCCCTGAGGCGGCTCCGGCACAAGGAAGGCACAAGGAAGGACGTTATGGAGAGAATTCCCAGGGCCACAAGCTCCAGGGGCCTCACACTCACCAGGGGGATGTCACAGAGGTGGTCAAGGCGCCGGAAGCCCTCCCCACACTGCCAGAGCCGCACACAGGAGCTGTGGGAGCCTGGGGAGAGGAGAGAGTGAGCGACCAGGGCAGTGGCCCACCTGCGTGCCCTCCTCCCTGCTGGCACCACACCCACCTGTGGCCACGAGGTCTGTATTGAGTAGGGCTGCTACTGATGACACCCAGAAGGGCTGCTCCAGGCCTGGCTCCCCCCGCAGCCCATGAGCCTCACGCTGCAGGGCAAGTGGCCGCTTCTTGGAGAGGCCCCACAGGGCCACGGAGCTGTGGACAAGGACTGCGGTCAGCGAGGAGGCCAGGGCAGGGAGTGCTCTGCCCCCACGTCCTCGTCTAGGAAAAGGGTTTGCAACAGCTCCCATGGGCATTCTAGGAGTAAGTTCCGGGCCTGGCGGACCCCAGGGACTCAGGAGCAGGAGCTGGCTGGGAGACTGCAGAGAGGCAGGGCTTACCCGTCATCTGCCCCCGACACCATGTGCTCCTCATTGATGAGGTGAATGCAGTCGATGGAACCCCTGGAGAAAGGGTTGTGAGGTGCGGCCCGGACCCCTACCCATAGGGCCACCCCACCCGGCCTGGCGGGCTGCCTACTGGTGGCCGTAGAAGACAAGCTGGGATTCCTCAGGGATCTTCCACACGCGCACAGTGCCGTCCCGGCCCCCAGCTGTCACACAGCACTCCCGGCTCAGGGCGTCCAGCGCAGCCACAGCGTCCTGGTGCCCAAAGCTGGTGCAGAGGACAGAGGAGGATGGGCTCACATGTGTATGTGCACACACACGTGCACATGCGCCCCGCAGCCCCTCCCTGCACACACTCACAGCGTCTCCACGTAGGAGTTCTCTGCCACGTTCCACACCTTCACAGAGCGGTCATGGGATGTGCTGTAGAGCTGGTGGGTGCCTCGGCGGAATGCCAGCCCCTGGGGGTGCATTGAGAGGGTGTCTGGACTCCAGCAGGCGAGACAGAGGTCAGGCCTGGGGAGGACTTCCTAAGAAGCCGGTCACACGGCATGGGGAGCCAGCTGCCCGAGAGCACTCTGGGCACTTCTGAGCCCTGTGTGGACCCAAGGGCATGGTCACCTGCCTCGAGCAGATGCAGACTTCTCAAGGGCTCCTATCCCTGTGCAAGCTCAGCTCGGTTCCCCCAGCTCCTCCCCATCCCTGTGGTCCTTTTTTGTCCTTTATGGCACCACTCACTGCCCCAGAGTGCAGGTTCCCTGAGGATGGAGACCCCGGGAGCCCAGCACCGAGCCGGGCCCACTAGGTAGGTGTGCACTGCACATCCACCAACAGGGCCCAGCGCCTCACCGACACGGCGTCCCGATGTCCCGTGAAGGTGTACAGGTGCCTGCAGCTCTGGGCCTCCCAGATGAGAATGAGTTTGCTGCGGTCACCCGAGGCCTGTGGGGATGAGGACGATGGCCACAGGCACCCACTGTGCACCGGCTCTCCCACCTCCCGGGGGCCGACCTGGCCTTACAAGGTACTTGCCGTCAGAGGAGATGGCCATGCAGAGGATGTGGCTGCTGTGGCCGGGAGGCTGGCCCTCAGTGCCCTTCTTGGCTCGAGGAATGACATGCAGCTTCCGTCCACTCTCCACGCTCCCTGCCACCAGGAGAGAGGCTGCTCAGGTGGGTGGATGGGGCTGACCAATAGTCCCTTCGAGGGACAGTGTGGACAAAGGGGCCATGAAGATAGTCCTGGATCAGGTCAGAGGACCTGGCTTGGCCACCGTGTGCCTCTGGACAAGCCACCTCAGTTTCCTCACCTGCTAAGTGGGGACAGGAGTCCCCAAGGGCAGTCATGAAGCTCAAAGAAGAGAAATTATGCAAAAGTGCTTGGGACCTGGGACCAGCAGTTGGCATAATGGCTATGTCGCTGGACTCCCGTGTACTCAACCACAGTTCAAGTCCCAGACTCGGTGGCTTAAACTCACACTGGGCACGTGTGTGTGCATGCCCAAGTCACCTGCTAAGTGGGGACAGGAGTCCCCAAGGGCAGTCATGAAGCTCAAAGAAGAGAAATTATGCAAAAGTGCTTGGGACCTGGGACCAGCAGTTGGCATAATGGCTATGTCGCTGGACTCCCGTGTACTCAACCACAGTTCAAGTCCCAGACTCGGTGGCTTAAACTCACACTGGGCACGTGTGTGTGCATGCCCAAGATCCCAAGAATGGAGGAGAAAGGACTGTGGCATGGCCATCCCCCTGGGGTGATTTCTCACTTTCTGTCTCTGTCTTTCTGGTGAGCGCACGTGCCCTATAGCAAAAAACTCTCAAAAAAAAAAAAAAAAAAAAAAAAAAAAAAGCTTGGGACTGGCACTAACAGATGGCGTAGTGGTTACACTGCTGGACTCCCAAGTAGCCAAACATGGTTCAGGAGAATGGAGGAGAAGGAATTGGGGTGTGGCCATCCCCCCTGGGGAGTGATTTCTTACTTTTCCTTTCACTGTCACTTTCTCTGTCTCTGGAAAGCACATGCACCCTAAGGCAAAAACCCCTTAAAAAAAAAAAAAATTAAAGTGCCTAGTGCTCGTTACTACCATGGGCAGGTGAGGACGGCACCTCTGTGCCGAAGGCTGGGAACCCAGGACCAGAGCTTCAGTCCCAGGCTGTGCAGGGCCTCAGACATCACCTGCTGGGCCAACCCCTATTACCGCACTGCCCTGCCTTCGCCCGACAGCTCTAGGCAGGAGCTCCTGCTGGGCGGAAGCATCTACCATCACCCAGAAAGCACTTCCTCGGAAGCAAACCTAGCTCCACAGGGTACCCCCAGCAAGGCTGTCTGCCAGGGCCACTCCCTCTTCCCAGCTGCCCAGACGCCCCCTGGACTCACTCACACTTAATGATGGTGCAGTCTTTCGCAGCGGAGAAGATGGCTGAGTCGTCGGGGGTAATGACCAAACACGTGATGGACAGCTGGTGGCCCCGTAAAACTCGAATGTCAGCCGGGGCTGGAGCCTGGATCTGGGTAGGCAGGGGCTAGGTCACTGAGCCTGGCCATGAGGCATCACCCCTCGACACCATCCTTTCCCACCTACCATGGCCGGAAGGAAAACCGCCCAGGGCTGCAAGGACCAGCCTCTTACATGACCCAGCCCGCACAGATGTTCACCATGTTCCAGAGCGAAGACGCCATAGCCCGAGCCCCGTCGGGTCACCACCCACCCAGGTAAGGCCCCAATGTCCTGGTGCCTGAATCCTGCACCAGAGCACCACACCCACTCACCTCCTTTGCCACCGACTTCTGCAGCCTGCCCCTCTGCTCGAGCTGGATGGAGAGGATGGGGTGAGACGAGGCCCTGGGAGCAGGACCGGCACCCTCCACACCCACCCCAGCCCTCTTCCCTCCACTCACCACGTCCTCCTTCAGGCGTCCGGCCACCTGGTCCTCCTCAAATGCACGGGCCTCGGCTTTCTCCTCCTCTGTGCATCACAGCCCGGACCACAGAAACCGAATCTGAGGGCCCACTGTTCCTGACCTACCCCATTCCCTCCTCGCTGCCCACCCCAGCGCTGGGCCCTGCCCACTAGGCCTATGCCATGCAGGCAGTCAGGCTGTCCCAGCAGAGGGGAGGGGGACTGGAGGGTCTCCTCCTGCCCCTACTCATCAGATCGATTTAAAGCTCCCTACAGTCCAGCTTATCCTAGGAGGCCCAATAGAACCCCCCCCACCCCGGGTAGCTGGCTGAAACCCGCATCCGTCACCCATTGTTGGCTGGCACTGCAGCCCCAGGCAGCAGGCAGGCCTTGGCACAGGCCGCCCACCGGCTCACCTTGCTGCCTGAGCTGCTCCAGGTAGAGCTTGGCCAAGCGTAGTTTCTTCTCCTGCGCGGTTTCCTCCAGCTCCTCCTCCTCCTCCTCTTCGGTCCTCCTTGGAGCCAGGCTGTGGGCAAGAGGGAGCTGGGTCTGAGGGGCTCATCCTGGTCTTCTGGCCACTGTCATCGTGCCTCCTCCTCACACCCCCTGCCACCAGACCGCCCCCATCACAGCCATCCTCATGGCCAATGACCACGCGTGCAGGAAACTGAAGGCTGTGACTCACCCAGCCGAAAGGCCCACCCAGAGCCCACATGAGGGTGAAAGCAGGCCCTGAACCAGAGATCACTGAAACCCCAACTGTGGGGAAAAGTGAAGGTTCTAAAAGCTTCTAAGAGAAAGTGGGCAGTGTACAAAGGGGTCAGGAACTGAAAGGGTTTCGGACTCTCAACAGCAACACTGGGACAAAGGAGCCCCACGGATGAAACTCTGGAGGGAAACGCAAACCCCGGGACGCCATGACCATCACGGCACCGCGATGGAACGCAGGCCCTGTCGGGTGCAACCGGCCTCCTCTCCTTTTTAAAACGAATTCGTTTCTTGCATGACGGAGACAGCACAAGAGATACAGGCCACACCAGCAGGGTCACCACGTCCTGACCTACCCCCAGCTGCAGCCAGGCCAGATCATGGCGTGTGACGTGCTCAAGGACGCAGACCTGGGACCCTCCTGTGTGGGTGCAGTTGTGTCACTGCTGTGCCAACACCTGACCCCTTTCTCTTTTTGCTTTTTAGGTTTTTGCCATAAGGTTCATGAACTCACTAAAGAGAAGGGAAACAGAGAGAGGCAAAGTGAAATCGCCCCCCAAGGGGATGGCCAAGCCAGTCATCGTCCTCCTCTTGGGATTCTGGGCATGCATGCACACACACGTGCCCAGGGTGATCTTCAAGCCCTGGGACTCAAACCGTGGTCAGCCGTGTGGGAATCTAGCTGCCTTAACCACAACATGGCTGACTGTGGTTTGAGTCCCGGACCTGGCGGCTTGCTTTCTCACTTTCCCTGTCTCTCTTTTTTTTTTTTGGAGAGATTTTCACTGTAGGGCGCGTGCGCTCGCCAGACAGACAGAGAGAGACATAGAGACAGAAAGCGAGAAATCACCCCCCAGGGGGGATGGTCACACCGCAATCCCTTCTCCTCCATTCTCCTCTCGGGATCTTGGGCACGCACGCACACGCGCCCGGCGTGAGTTTTAAGCCACCGGGTCCAGGACACGAACCGCGGTCGACTACGTGGGAGTCCAGCGACATAGCCATTACGCTAACTGCTGGTTCCCTCTCTCTCTCTTTTTTTAAATCGTAATAATGACAGTAAATTTAAAAAAAATTTTTTTTTGAGATTTTTGCTATAGGATGTATGCATTCCCTGGAGAGACAGAAAGCAAAATATCACCCCCCAGGGGGATGGCCATGCCACAATTCCTTCTCCTCTCCTCTCCTCTCCTCTCCTCTCCTCTCCTCTCCTCTTGGGATCTTTGGCATGCATGCACACACACCCAGTGTGAGTTTCAAACTGCCTGATCCGGGACACGAACTGTGGTGGACCACATGGGAACCCAGCGCTTTAACCACTATGGCACCTGCTGATCTCGAAAATAATTCATTTTTTAAAAATTTTAAAAAAGAAGGAAAGAGACTGTGCTCCCCAAATGAGAGGGTCAGCTAAGGAGGATGTGGGACACCAGAAAGGGGAGCCCCAACATGGAGCACAGAAGAGGCAGAACTCACAATGACAACCATCCCCAGGCACGGGGGGTAGCCAGTCTTGGTCAGATCCAAAGACCCAAAAGGCAGACATGCTGGGACAGTCACTGCCTCAGACTCACTGCCACGACACCGTCCTTAACCCTGGAGACAGGCTTCAAGTGAATCTAAACTGGTTTGGGCCTGACCTTGTGAAATTCCTTTTTCACCCTAGTCCCTGGACCAACTGAGGTCACACACTGCGCTCAACACAGGCCCTGCTTTGACCTGCTCCTGGGAGGTGGGGGAGGTCACAGGAACTCAGAAGCAGGGAATCAGGGGAGCCCGCTACCCGTCCACCACTCTGACCATATGCCTATGGGTGTCCGGTCTCTACCAGGTGCCCCCATGGAGTTTCCCAGGACACACTTATGACCTTCCAAACTCTCAGCAAAGCCACGGCTAGACTGTGCCCGAGATTTGGTGCCCTGTGCCCAGGAGGCCTTTGGCCACGGGCTGGTGCTGCTCCTGCCTTAGCCAAGGTTGGGGCTTTTACTCAGGATCATCACACAGGAGGTAAAACTCGGAAGAAAAATAGGGGACGTATACCCTGTGTGATTCCATTCACGTGGCATTCTGAAACACAAAACTCCAGGGACAGTGGCTGGGGGAAGGGCTGACTATGAAGGACCAGGGGGAATTTGGGAGGGTGAGCAAACCCATCTATATCTTCATAGTGGTGCTGGTTTCAAGCATTTGTCAAAGCTCAGAACTATACATTAAAAAAGGTGAACACTGGGCCTGGCAGGTGGCGTGGTGGTTAAGGGTGCTGGACTCCCACATAGCCGACCGCAGTTCGAGTCCCAGATCTGGCAGCTGGCTTTCTAATTTTCTCTCTCTCTCTCTTTGTCTCACTGGTCAAATTAAAATAAATAAATAAAGGTAAATAAAATAATTCTTTAAAAAAATCTTAAAAACCGGGTGCATGTGCGTGCATGCCCAAGATCCCGAGAGGAGAATGGAGGAGAAGGGATTGCAGCATGGCCATCCCCCCTGGGGGGGGTGATCTCTCGCTTTCTGTCTCTCTCTGTCTTTCTGGCAACTGCATGCGCCCTATAACAAAAACCTCTCCCCCCCAGAAAAAAAAATCTCAATAAAAAGAAAAGGTGAATGCTACTGTATGTAAATATCTAAATGACAAACAAACAAAAAAAAATACTTCATGTAAAAAATAAGAACAGGAGCCGGTAGATGGCATGGTGGTTAAGGCACTGGATTCTCACACGTGGTTGATGGCGGTTCACGTCCCAGACCTGGTGGCTTGAAACTCACACCAGGTGCATGTGCGTGTGTGCCCAAAATCCTGAGAGGATGGAGAAGGGACTGAGGGATGGCCATCCCCCCTGGGGAATTATTTTTCACTGTCTCTCTGGTGAGCACACACACTCTATAGCAAAAATCTCTCAAAAAAAGAAAAAAAGTAAGAATGACATTCAGTTAGGGCTTGTAAGTTCCCACAGAGGTTCTAGTTCTTCACCTAAGCAGCAGTTGCACGGAGACTCACTATTTGATAGTTATTTTCTACCATCAATTGTGATCCATTGACTCTTCTATATCTAATACATTTCATAATACAACAGTCAAAAAAAAAATCTTAAAAAGCTTGTTGAAAGGCTTGGCAAACACTCACCCACAGAAATTAAGAAAAGTATGTTAAGTCTTTCTGTGAGCAAGGTAAGGCAACACATCCCCAATCTGAGAAGCAGAATTTTTAAAAAAAGTTTTTCCCATAGGGCACATGAGCTCACCAGAGAGACAAGTAAAAGGGAAAGTGAGAAATCACCACCACCACCACCACCACCCCCAGGGGGGGAGGCGGCCACACCTCAATCCCTTCTCCTTCATTTCCCTCCTGGGATTTCTGGGTATGCATACACGCACGTCCAGCAAGATTTTCAAGCCACCAGGTCCAGGGCTCGAACCACGGTCAGCCATGTGGGAGCCCAGCATCTTAACTACTATGCCACTTGCTGGCCCAGAAGCAGAATTTCTAATGCCAGTTCCTAGAAGAGGTGCCAGGGATCCCTGGTGTGAAAATCGCCATCCCACAAGGTCAGGTCTGATCCCTTGCCCAACCCTTGGAAGCACAGCAACCCTCCAATCACCTGCAGAAATGAGGGAGGCATTGGAAGCCCTCCAGTCTAGATATACCCACCAACTGCTGCTCCGTCTTTTCCACCTCCCCCTGACACACTTACACCCCAGACTTCTCTTCTCTGATCGATCTCTGAATGCCTTATCTCTCCACGAGAGACTACTCATCTCTCCAGGCCCTATGTAAACGCCCCTGCTCTCTCCCCATCCTACTATTTCATTCTCTCCTTACCTCCCTGTTCATCTCTGTACTCCCAGTGGTGAAGCTAGTACCTGGCATGTTAGGGACTCTATGGTCTCCCACTCGGGTCTGGGGTCCTCCCCACAGACGCCACTCAGAGAATATGAGATTACTCAGGGCCAGAAATGAAAGAGTCCCGATCCGAGAGCCAAGGACAAGAGCCTTGGGCTCAAGATGCAGTTCTACCTGGGCTCACAGGGTCTTCCATATACCAGGAGCCTCCGGTTTCCCTTCCGCTAAGTGGTACAGAACAGCTCACCTCTCGCTCTCAGAGTCGCTGGAGATCTCCTCGTTCATCTTGCCGCCACCCTTGGACTTGTTCCTGTCCCCCGCAGAGTCGGCCTGGGAATTATTTGATCCTTCCTTTGGTCAGAGGTCCCGACCACCCCGATACTGACCAAGGACCCCTCCGGTACCTCGAGAGCCCGGAACTGAGAAAGACGGTGGCTCCCTGGTAAGCGTAAGGCTTTGAAGGACTTAGCAGCGGAGAGAGGGACGAATCTGACCCAGACTGGGGTCCCGGGCGAAGAGCTGCGGAGGAGCTCAGATCCCTCAGATGGGATGAAGTTGTCCCAGTAGCAAGACTGATGGCGCCCCGCAGAAGGGCCAAGCTCCCCTTCCGCCGCCGCTTGCCTGCCCCTGCACCAGCACTGGCCCCAGAGGCCGGCTTTCCTCGCTTACGAGCCGCCGCTGCGGACCCCACCTCCTACAGGTCCATTGGGCCTTTCAACAGACTTTGCCACGCCCCCAAGCGCCCATAGGATGGAGGCCTGTGGCCACGCCTCCGAGACCTTCTATAGGCTCTCGCTCCGGGTTTGAGTAGGAAGCAGGTCTCTCCCCGGAGCTTCCGGTCTGAGGCCGTGGCGCGTGCGCTCTGCGACTTCTAAGGGGGCGGGGAATCTGAGCAGGAAGCCTTTCTCTGTGATTGCACCTTTTGGCCGCTGGAGGGCGCAAGAGATGCGGGGTCTGCGTTTTGGACCGTAACTTCTGGATCTGGGGCGGTGGCAAGGGGACTGGCATTGACAACTGCGGCGGATCCAGGCGGTCCTGGGGAAAAGGAGGCAGTGCCCAGACCCCGCCCAAGGTCACTGAGCAACCAGTGGGCAGATGGACATCCTAAGAGAGTCGTCAGCCCCCTAGGCCTTAAATGTGTCCAGATTCAGGGCCCACCCATCCAATAGATAGGTCACCCACCTTGGCCTGCCTCAGCCTCTGACTCACCCCACTGGTGACCAAATAGCTGGAATTCAATACTCTCCTCCCTCCCTGAAGTTCTTTCTCCGCCTCCAGAGATTGTCAGGAAGTCCCTCCCTAAGTCACGCCTAAGGCTCGCAGAAGTTGCTGAGAGAGCCGCAGACGTGGGACTGCCCTGGCAATTGCACACAAAGGTCCTATTAGCAGACCAGGTAGCCTCTTTCAGGGCCCTGCTTCTCTTGGGTGAGTGTCCTCTGGCACTGCCCACAGCCCTCTGCAGGATCGGGCAGGGTGGGGCTGGTCCCCTGTCCTCCAGCAGCTTAAGGCTACTGATCTGGAACCCTGGTTGGCACCCTAGAACTCTTCAATCCGTTGAAGGGTTTCTGTGCCACTGGATCCCAACCTGTGGAGGGATATTTCTGGCCCCAGGAGTGCTGTCCCGAGCTGCTGCTGCCCTCCCCCATCGCTTGGGTGCCTGCCTGGTGAGCATGCCAGGTTCTGAGATAGCCGACAGGGGGAGGAGCAAGTGGTACCCAGCGTGTGCAGTGGATTCCAAGGAGCCTGGCAGCGGGAGGAGGGAGCGTCTTCTTTCACTTTCTCTATGGCCTTAGGACATGCTGGAGAGCTGGGCAGGGCAGGAAGCCAGAGTGGCAGGCTGGACGGGGCCTTGCCCTTGCGCTTGTGACTGGGGGAAGGGTGGATCTGAGGTACAGGGAGCCAGTTTTGTCCAGGGCTGGGAATGGGGACAGCATAGGCAGGGACAAGCAGTGGGAAGGTGGGGAGGAGGCACTGCCACCCCACCTCCAACTGTCCACAGGCATGCAGGCCCGGGCCTGGCCCAGCACACAGACCACCAAAGGGCAAGCCCAGGGTGGTGCAAGTCAGTGCAGTGCAGGCCAGGTGGCGTGCTGAGGCCCCTCCTGTGCCCCAGGCATCATGGCTCCAAAGCGCAAGCCCTCGGTACAGACTGGGGGACCGGAAAAGAAGAAAGGGCGGCAGGGGGCAGAGGAGGAGGACAGCTTCCGCTCCACGGCTGAGGCCCTCAGGGCCGCACCTGCAGAGAAGCGCATCATCCGTGTGGACCCCGCATGCCCGCTCAGCAGTGACCCTGGGACCCAGGTGAGCTGCTTGGAGGCTGCTCCCTCATGGGTGCAGACACCCAGACCTGCTCTCCTCCGTCCTGGGGCTCAGCTCTGGGAATGAGCTCAAGGCCCCGAGTGGGCTCCAGAGCAAGGCCTATTCTCCCGAGACCCTAAAGGTCAGGCAGAGCTGTATCCCCTAAGGTCCAGAGAGGCCCTATCCGCCCCTCAGGCCCCAGAAAGGCTCTCCCCACCACAATTAAGGAAGGGCCTTGACTTCCATCTCCTCAGGACTTGCCCATGTCCCTTCAAACCAGCCCTCAAGTCAGAGCCAAGTCCCCCTCAGTTCCCCCCTGGGACATAGCTGTGTCCTCCTGGAGCCCTCCCACCCCCAGTCAGGGCCTAGCCCTGTCCTCTCAGGCCACGTCCCCTAGGGTAGAACCATGACCTCCCCCTCAAGCATTCCAAGGCTCCCCAGTGCAGACTCCTGTTCCCATCGGACTCCCCGCAGTGTGGGCCGGGCACCCCATCCAGCCTGAGGGCAGTCCCGGCCAGCTGCCGCTCCACCCCACCCCCGGCCAGGTGCACGAGGACTACGACTGCACGCTGAACCAGACCAACATCGGCAGCAACAACAACAAATTCTACATCATCCAGCTGCTGAAGGAGGGCGCCGGCTTCGCCTGCTGGAACCGCTGGGGCCGCGTGGTGAGTGCCCCGCCTGCCGCAATGCCTCCTCCCCGCCTCTTCCTGGGCATGCTCCCCAGGGTCCCCAAAAGGCCACAGCTGCTGACTGACACCCCCACCTCCCACTGTCCACGGTGAGCAGCCCTGGGCCTGGCCCAGCACACAGACCAGCAACGGTTCGTCCATTGTAGGGAGAGGTGGGCCAGTCGAAGATCAGCCGCTTCACACAGCTGGAAGATGCAAGGAAGGACTTCGAGAAGAAATTCCGGGACAAGACGAAGAACAACTGGGCGGAGCGGGACAGCTTTGTGGCCCACCCCGGCAAGTACACGCTTATCGAAGTGCAGGGCGAGGACGAGACCCAGGAGGTCGTGATGAAGGTGAAGTGGCCAGGGCGGACAGGCTCCGGCTGAGGGAGGGGACTGGCTGACAGTTGCTCCTGGTTGGGCTCTGCCCCTGCCCCCTCTCTAGTCTCTGTCTAATGTCTTTCCTGACTGCTCCAGCCCACATGTGCCCTGTGTCCCCAGGTGGACGGAGGCCCACTAAAGGCCGTGGCTAAGCGGGTGCGGCCCTGCTCCCTGGACGCAGCCACACAGAATCTCATCACCAACATCTTCAGCAAAGAGATGTTCAAGAATGCCATGACTCTCATGAACCTGGGTGAGGGGAGAGGCTGGCAGGGGCAGCAGGGGCGCCAGGGTGGCAGGGTGGCAGGGCAGTAGGGCTGAGCCTCCCTTCCTCCCTGCCCCCCAGATGTGAAGAAGATGCCCCTGGGAAAGTTGAGCAAGCAGCAGATCGCACGAGGCTTTGAGGCCTTGGAGGCCCTGGAGGTGGCCCTGAAAGCACCCACGGGCAGCAGCCAGAGCCTCGAGGAGCTGTCCTCCCACTTCTACACGGTCATCCCGCACAACTTCGGCCGTAGCCGGCCCCCACCCATTAACTCCCCCGAGATCCTGCAGGCCAAGAAGGACATGCTGCTGGTGAGGGCCAGCAGTGGACCCTGGGCAGGCGGACCAGGCCAGGGGACGGGGGGACAGGTGGCCGAGAAGGCCCAGAGGCACGGCCTGCCACGAGCAGGAGAAAGCATGGCGGGTGGGGGGGCAGACAGACAGATGGGCAGCAGGGATGGACAGGTGGACAACAGGTGGGGCAGTGGCAGCCCTGTGGGAGAACAGAGAGAGGCCGAGGTCAAGAGGGCAGACAGGCCGGCATGCCCGTCATCTCAGGTGCTGGCAGACATCGAGCTGGCCCAGGCCCTGCAGGTGGCCCCCGAGCAGGAGGAGATGGTGCAGGAGGTGCCACACCCACTGGACCGAGACTACCAGCTCCTCAAGTGCCACCTTCAGCTGCTGGACTCTGGGGCGCCCGAGTACAAGGTAGGTGGGGCCTGTCGAGGAGCTGGGCTGACACGGTACCAGTCCTCTGCCCACCTGCCCTGATGTGCCCAGAGGAGTCCTCCCCCTTACCCCCACCCTCGGCCTTCTCTCCCTGCAAGGGAGCGCTGGGACCTGGCGGGAGAGGCGGGCACAGAGGGTTAGTCCACGCGTGTCCCCACCCGACCCCCAGGCACCAGCTTCCGCTCACCCACAGGTGGTACAGACCTACCTGAAACAGACAGGCTGCGAATACAGGTGCCCCGTTCTTCAGCACGTCTGGAAAGTGAACCGAGAAGGAGAGGTGAGCGGGAGTCCCCGGCCCCTCCCTACTGCCACCTGCACCTTAGGCAGGTGACCCTGGCCGGCGAGCAGCCTAGCAGCTCTGATGGGTTTCGGCAGCCCTTGGTCACATCCTGAGAGCGGCAGGAAGAGGCGCCAGGGCCCGTGGATGGCCGGCCATCACACTCCCCACCTCCTACCTGCTCAGGGAGACAGGTTCCAGGCCCACTCCCAGCTGGGCAATCGGAAGCTGCTGTGGCACGGCACCAACGTGGCTGTGGTGGCCGCCATCCTCACCAGTGGGCTCCGCATCATGCCCCATTCTGGTGGCCGCGTTGGCAAGGGCATCTACTTCGCCTCGGAGAACAGGAAGTCAGCTGCCTACGGTGAGGCGCCCCTCTGGGCCATGCTGGGTGGGCACAGCACCGTGCTGGAGTGGGCCCAGTCCTCGCCCACTGCAAACTCACAGTGTATCTGGGAGAGGATCCATAGGGGGTTCACTGACCAGAATGCTCGATGGGGCATCCTGGGATATGGGGGACTCAGAAGAAGTACCTGGGGGTCAGAGTGGCTTCCTGGAGGTGGTGATGCAGACAAGGTGAGTACACTAGCCAGATGACCCTCCAAGGCAAGAGGACGGACCCCACGACCAGGAGGTGCAGTCGGGGCTTCCAAGCCCCTCCTGACTCAGAAGCTTAGAGCAGCACCTGGTGGGGTCCGGGGTGGGTTGGGGTTTTGCCCAGAGAGCAGTGTGCATAGTGAAATCAGTGGTGCAGCTGCCCCGAGGGTGGCTGAGGCCAGAGGCTGCAAGAGGCCGTGTTCTCATACAGGCCAGGGCTGTGTAGGTGGAGGGGGCAGGGATCCGTGAGCCATGTGTGAGAGGTGGGTTGGACAGTGTGTGTGGAGGGTTGTGCGTGTCTCCCACGATGTCTGAGTTTCCAGCCTGCAGTGGTGACCTCCCAGACAGGCTCCTCAACCCCGGCTGAGCCCGTCGGAGGCTACCACCACTCACCCTTCCAGGGAAGTCGGATGGGGCTGAGGATCTAGGATAACTGAGGTTGCCCAGGGCCAGGCGTTCCATTGGGAGGGCAAAGGAGCCTCAGGAAGGGGGCTGAGGGGTCTCAGGAGGGCCAGTGCAGGGTGGTCCCAGCGTGTGGGCTGAAGGGCCCAGTGGCCATCAGCACAGCAGGCTGGGACAAAGCGCCTCCTGAGTTTGGCCACTGAGAGGCCATGGGTAGGGACTTGGTGCTGACCTTGGTGAGGACAGCAGAGGGCTCAGAGGCCTGGCCACAGGGAGGTGAGGACGGAAGGGACAGAAGTAGGAAGGTGGGCAGGGAATCTGGGGGGCTGGGCAGGAGGGCTGAGCCTGCCCGGGTCCTCCAGTCACTGGCATGTCCTGCGGGGCACACCACATCGGCTACATGTTCCTGAGTGAGGTGGCACTGGGCAAAGAGTACCACATCACCGTCGACGAGCCCAGCTTGACGTGTCCCCCCACTGGCTTCAACAGTGTCATCGCCCGAGGCCACACAGAGCCTGGTGAGTCCTGGGGAGCTGGACGGGCCTGGGGCTGAGATGGGGGACGGGGACATGTTCAGGGAGTGGGCTGTACGGAGGGACAGAAAACAGCAGCCATGCTCCCTGTGACCATTCACTTAGTCAACAATCAGCAGACACTCACTGATTCAGCAGGTCGTCCCCAGGCATCCTGGAGGGCTCCAAGGAGGTGTCATTGACTCCTGAAAGACGAGGGCGAGTTTCCTAGAGAGGGAATGAGGACGGGTAGTCCAGGCAGAGGGTCCAGGCAGGGAGAGAGTAGGGGCAGGGATAACTGATAAAACCAGGGACCAGCGGCCCCTCGGTCACCCGTGGACCTCGCTGTGTTCCTCAGATCCGACCCACGACACTGAGCTGGAGCTCGACGGCCAGCGGGTGGCGGTGCCCCAGGGTCAGCCCATGTGCTGCCCAGAGTTCAGCAGCTCCAGATTTTCCCAAAGTGAGTACCTCATCTACCAAGAGAGCCAGTGTCGCCTGCGCTACCTGCTGGAGATCCGCCTCTGAGCACCCGCTGCCGCCTGGGGTCTGCCCGTCTCTGAGAGCTCCGTGTCGGCCTTTTCTTCTCCAGTGACGTGATCCGTTCTTACTGTCTGTGTCACAACAGAGCTCTTGAACCTACTCCTTCTAACTGAAGTGTCGCTTTCTTCCACCCCCATCTCCCTAAGCCCACCCCCCAACCGTGGTAACCACTGTTCGACTCTGCCTCTTTTTCTTAAACAAGTATTTATATATTTGTTTATTTATTACAGAGGTTTTTGCTATAGGGCGCGTGCGCTCGCTAGAAAGACAGAGAGAGACAGAGAGACAGAAAGTGAGAAATCACTCTCCCCAGGGGGGATGGCCATGCTGCAATGCCTTCTCCTCCATTCTCCTCTCGGGATCTTCAGCATGCACGCACACGCGCCCGGCGTGAGTGTAAGCCACCAGGTCTGGGATTCAAACAATGGTAGGCCATATAGGAGTCCAGTGCCTCTAACCACCAACTAAGATGGTTGCAAGTGGAAATATCTTAAAAAAAAAAAAAAAAAAAAAGAATTATTTGTTTAATTCTACTTATTATTATTATTATTATTATTATTATTATTATTATGTTATTTTAATTTGGCCAAACAGAGACAGAGAAAGAAAGGGAAAGGGAGAAAGCAAGCCTCTAGGTCCGGGACTTGAACCGTGGTAGGCCATGTGGGAATTCAGCGCCTTTAACCACCACGCCACCTGCCGGCCCCATGCAAGTGGAAATGATCTAATTCCATACTTCATTTGTATTTGCCAATATTTCCTTCCTTATCAATACAGACCCATGGACTCTTATTTTACCCAATGGGTTATAATCCATAACTGTCATTAATTTATTGTGATTCTCAAATTGTCCCAGACTTGGCCAGCCGAAGGTCCTTGCTGTGTCCCTGTCACTTTTTGAGCCACTCCTTCCTTTCTGGCATCACAAGATGTTCCAGTTCATCTTGTACAAACCTAGGATCAGCTATTTCCCCACAGAGCCCAGCTTCCCTGGAGCGGGAAATGGTGTTTAGGATCCAAGATCTGGAGAGGGCTCCTAGGCTCCGGGGTGTCCCTGCTTTTAAGTCCTTTCGGCAGGGAGAAGCAGGAAATATGTATATGTAAGTAACTGACACACCAGTCTGTCAATTTCTCTTCTCCAATTCCATAGTTTCTCTAACAGGAAGAACCTGGGTTTCCATCAACATTGATATATTGATTTATTTGCCTGATCTTACTCAAAAAGAAGTTTCAGAATTGCTATATGCGTACCATTGTGAAAAACACACTTTCCAAGTAGAACTCACATTTTATTATTAAAATAATTATTAATTTTATTTCATTTTATTTTTGTCATAGGGTGCATGCGCTTACTGGAGAGAGAGAGATAGAGACAGTGAGAGGGAAAGTGAGAAATCACCCGCCCGGGGGGATGGCCACTCCACAATCCCTTCTCCTCTATTCTCCTACTAGGATTTTGGGCAAATACACATATATGCCCAGTGTGGATTTCAAGCCACCGGATCTGGGACTCGAACTGTGGTTGACCAGGTCCAGTGCCTTAACCACCATGCCACCTGCTGGTCCCTATTTTTTAAACATTTGCTAGAGGACACATGCACTCACAGGAGAGAAACAGAGAAAGAGAAAGTGAGAAATCACCCCCAGGGGAGATAGCCATGCTGCAGTCCCTTCTGTATTCTCCTCTGGAGATTTTAGACATACACACATGCGCACCAGGTCCGAGACTCAAGCCGTGGTTAGCCATGTGGGAGTCTAGCTGCCTTAGCCACCATGCTGCCTGCTGGCCCCCAGTTTACTGTTTTTCATGAATAGAACGTTAACATAGTTCCAAAAGGTACAAATTATACACGATGAGCTCAGAGGAATCCTCCTGTCCCCTTCACTCCTTTCCCACGCACCTGCAGGAAGGAGCCAATTTCATGAGTTCTGGTTTATCCTTCCTGTGTTTCTTTTTTTAAACACACACGTGTGGGACCAGTAGTTGGCGTAATGGCTATGTCACTGGACTCCCACATTGTTGACTGCAGTTCGAGTCCCGGACCCAGTGGCTTAAACTCATGCCAGGCGTGTGTGTGTGTGTGTGTGTGTGTGTGTGTGTGTGCATGCCCAAGATCCTGAGAGGAGAACGGAGGAGAAGGGATTGCGGTGTGGTCATCCCCCCTGGGGGGTGATTTCTCACTTTCTGTCTCTCTGTCTTTCTGGCAAGCGCATGTACCCTATAGCAAAAATCTCTCAAACACACACATATACACACACACACACACACACACACACGCATGCTGGCAAGCTACAGAGAGTTTGAATTTATTTAATGATTTTGGAGGAAGCATGCACTCTCCAAACCATCAGAGTCCTCATCCCTTCTATTGCTGCCCCTAGTCCACTTTCCTCATTGGCCCCTCCCACCAGCCCTGGCAGCTCAGGGCTGCCCCCGGCCTGCAGGCCTGACTGGACAGAGAGAAGAGGAAGGGACTGGCCTTTCCCTTCTGAGCCTAAATTTTTAAAAATCCATCTTCCCCTCTTAGAGGCCATCACCCGCATCCAAGCTGTGGCCAAGTACAGGGAGGGGTGGTGTGTGCACAGAGCTCTGAGAAGCAGGTGACCTCACTTCCAAGTCCAACTCAGCTGTGTGATCTGGGGCACCGTCCTCCCCAGTCTGGGCCCCAGTGTTATCGGAGTCATGATGAATCTGACCTGGGCTTGTCAAGTTCCAGCATGGAATGAGTGAAACTGGCTTTGGTTTCGACCATCTGGAGCCCTACCGACACTGCCCGTGTGCCTGTGATGGGTGCTAGGAGCAAAGGCTCAAGCGAGACAGACGAGGTCTCCACGCTCACCAGGCTCACAGCCTAGTAAAACAGGCTCTGAACAAACACGCGCTTAAACATAAAACCTAGGCCCCGCGGGCGGCGTGGGAGTTAAGGCAGCTGGATCCCACATGCCCGACCCATGTCTGGCTCCTGGATCCTGTGGCTGGGAAAACACACTAGGCGAGTGTGTGTGTGTGTGTGTGTGTGCCCCAAATCCCCAGAGAATGGAGGAAAAGGGACTGCGGCACAGCCAGCCCTCCTGGGGAGGGAGGTATTTCTCTGACAAGCATATGTACCCTCTAGCAAATTAAATATCTATATATCTATATCTATATCTATATCTGTATTTATAATGACCCCTGTCCAATAGGGAAGGTGTCAGGAAGGTAAGTGAAGCAGGGCTAAGGGACAGTGGAGTAATTTTAGAAAAGATGGTCAATGACAACCTTTTTCAAATAGAGACCAAAAGAAAGCGACAGAGCAGAGAGCAAGCCATGGACGGATCTGCGGGAAGGGCGTTCATGCAGAGAATAACGCGTGCGAAATAACCAGGTGGAAACTGGCTTGACAGGTGGGAGGGACGGCAAGATGACTGCTATGGCTGGAAGTTTGGTGGGCAAGAAGGAGGGTGGGCCAGAGAGGTGGGGAGAAGCCAGGTACTGGAGGTCGGCCGACCCACAGCACAGTGCAGCTGAGATTCTGTTCTGATGATGGGCTGTCCTGGGAGGAATAAGAGCGAGGACAAGTCTGACTGCTTTGGGACCATCAGATGGTGTAATGACTATGTCGCTGGACTCCCATGTAGTCAACTGTGGTTTGAGTCCCGGACCTGGTGGCCTAAACTCACACCAGGCACGTGTGTATGCATGCCCAAGATCCTGAGGAGAGATTAGAAGGGAAGGGATTGTGGGTGTGTGTGCGTGCCCAAGATCCCAAGAAGAAATTAGAAGAGAAGGGATTGTGGCATGGCCATCCCTCCTGGGGTGTGATTTCTCACGTTCTGTCTCTCTGTCTCTCTCTAAAATCCCTTCCAGAGGACCTAGGGTGAGACATTAACAGACCGTTTTGGCCTTTGATAACAACGATCTCTCTACATCCTGTCCCTGGCATAGTATCCCTATAATCACAGTCATTAACAGACTATTTTGACTCATTGCTAACAGGACTCTTCCAACACCCTGTCCTTGGGACAGTACAAGCCCCCTTATCTCTGTTAAAGTACACTCTACTAATTCCTCCCCAAACCTACAAGCTCCTTCCCTCCTCCCACCTGCCAGCCTTCTGCTGGGAACTTCCACACGTTGGCTGGACATCCCTGAGCCCACTGGGGAAGTGCGGTTCCCAGGAAGGCAGAGTAACACTGGGGAAGGGCAGGGGATGGACCGGGGGGGCCAGCGGGCTAACGACAGCACAAGGGCAGGAGCAGAGGCCAGGAGACATTTGGGCGGATGCTGAAATGGCCCAGATGGTGACAGTGGGGCCAGGGAGCAACGGTGGTGGTGAGGAGTGGCTGGATTTAGGAGACCTCAACGGACCGGCTATGGGGCATGAGGGGAAGGGTTGCAGGGGACGGGACCCAGAGCTATGGTTCTGCTCTGAACACAGGAAGTTAAAGATGCCCGTTAGTCACAGTACTGGGGTGATGTTGCAGAGGTGGCTGGTTACCCAGGTCTGGAGATGGGGGGAAAAGACAGGGCTTCAGACCCAAATGCAAGCCGTTAGGGGATGGGTGGGTTTTGCCATGGGCCTCCTGTCTTCCCGCCTCTGTCTTCAGGCATACGCCCCACTGGAGCTACATGGCTTCCCCGGAACCTGCCATCTGTGGGTGAGGGCAGATCCCTACACTGATTGGCCAGGACTGGGCTTTGTACCTAATCAGCAAAACGGAGAATGGGGGTCTTGCTCACCCAAACTGCATGACCTGAGAACTGGGAGGATGGGTTCCTAAAGGACATGCTCTGTTTCAGAGGGCTCGTTTGCTGGCAGCAAAACCAAAACCAGTTGCCTGCGAAGGCCTTCTCTCGTCTGTCCCCACTGTCTATCATGGGGCACTTTCTATGCCAAGTTAACAGTGGCTGAGCACCTACCATGTACCGCGCCCTGTGGTTCCCCCTCACTTTCCTAGCCTCCTAGGTGAGAGAACTAGCCCTCCCAGGGCCCACAGTGGAGAGAAGTGTCTTCCTGCTCCGGGTGTTGTCTGACTGGCACTTCAGTTTCCCGTTAGTACAGAACGAAATGATCTTCTTATCCCCATATCCCCACTGATGGCGACTGGAGGGAGCAGAGGGGGCCACTTCGCGCCTCTGGGAAAGGCAGAGCAGGGTCTGCTGAGTCCAAAGCCCAGACTAACCTCCATCTAGGCTCCAGGACAGTGCCTGCTCTGCCCCACCCACCCACCCAGCCCGAGGCGCGCCCAGGCACTTCCACAGCAAAGCCTCCAGCCTCCAGCTGGCAGCTGCTAGGACCCAGGGGGCTGGCACCAGGCCCTGCCCCTCTCTGCCAGCTCTGTGTCTTCAAAGGGCAACATCAGAGTGACAGCCAGTACCATCTCCAGCAAGGAGCTGGGCTGGGGCACGGGAGAGAGCCTGTAGACCCAACTTTCCACCCCTCCATGGGGCCGGCCAAGTCCCCAAGAGGATGGCAGCCTGGGCGTCGGAGCCACCTCCTGGGCAGCCTATGAGGTGAGGGGCAGGAGGAGCAAGGGACAGGTGATGGGAATCGTGGAGCCGGGGGCTCCATTTTGTTCTCTGCATCCCAGAACAGGGTGAAGCCTGAGCGCTCAAATGGCCAACATCACAGGGCTGAACGCCACGGAAGTCGCAGGCTCCGTGGGGTTGATCCTGGCGGCCATCGTGGAGATAGGGGCGCTCCTGGGCAATGGGGCACTGCTGGTGGTGGTGCTGCGCACGCCAGGACTGCGCGACGCGCTCTACCTGGTGCACCTGTGCGTCGTGGACCTGCTGGCGGCCGCCTCCATCATGCCGCTGGGCCTGCTGGCCGCGCCTCCGCCGGGGCTGGGCCGCGTG